ACTGTACTGTTTTCACGGATTGTTTTTTTAATATTTTTTATTTTCCTTTTCATAAAATGTACATTTATTTTAGGTAACGATAAACAGTGGTGACATCAATATAAACATCAATGCTTAGAGTTTTGTAATGACTGAAATGATTCTTGAGATGATATAATAAATTTAGTATTACATATTCAGTGAATTATCTAATCAATGAAATAATGAATTTTAAGCTTTGACCGTTCTAAATTCTTTATTTACTCATATTTTCCATCCACTATGTTTTTTTCTCATTTTTTTTCTTTCATTTACTTATTTATTTTATTCTTTAAATGAAAAGAAGAGGAAGGAGGAGGAGGGGGAGGGAGAAAAGAGAAACATACACATGTGCATACTTTTTGTGACTTTACACACCCACACACAAACTGGCTCTACAAGGATCCGTTGCGGTGTCCAATCCCAGAATGGTGAATCAAATTAAGGGGCCTGTAGGCTCCTGGGATGCTGCCACAGATCAAAAAATGTAGAGTTCGAACGGGAAAAAAATAAGCTTTTCTAACTGGATTGGATTCCTCTGATTCCAGCCCAGTGTAACCTTTGACCCTCCTTTACTGAGCACACAAAGTAAAATGCATTGCTAAGAGAAGGAAAAGGGCGTTTCCAACCCCATACACTCACCTGTGTTTTCGGAGGTATGTTTCTAATGTTTCTAACAGACAGTTAGAATCAATTAAGACTACTTCATCTCGACATTCCTGGGACATGAGTTCCCATATATCCATCCAGCAACCTCTGAGGAGGGGCAAGAAAAGAATATTTATTTAGTGGATGTATTTAATACTTAGTAATATTACTTTTTATTTTTAATTGATTTTTCATCAATAAAAATATTTCGTGAATGTATATGGTCGCCCACCGCGGGTGCATGACTCTGGGCGGCTCTCAATATTAAAAATAATAAAAAGATAAGACAAAAATATAAAACCTTTAGCCGCTGGAAGAAAGATCACAAAGCCACACTCCAACATTCAACATAGCCAGACAACGGGTTTCGTCCCACGCTCGGGGGCCCAGAATACGAAGCCCTGAGATTTAAACCAGCATAGCTCTGCACCATTAAAAGGAGGCCATTCACAAGAACATGTCAGGGAAACCTAACAGTTTCCAGTGGATTGCAAGGCGCCGGTTTTGATCTATAAAGTTCTGCATCATTCATCGTTTGATGGAATCCCCCATTTGCCTTCATTAGGCTTACAGCAGCCATCCTGCAAATGAAATCTCCTTAACGCTCTTTCTACTGGTGCCCGCCTCCTTCAAAGAACCCTGACTGGTACCCACGATTGCCTGTTCAAAACCAAGCTAAAGTAGGTTTATTTGTTTAATTCTCTGAGGTTTTTGCAGCTTCGAGTTATTTTAGCCCTTGCGGGTACTGATCACTTCAAATGGTACAATTTCTTGTCTGTTGTTGTTTTTACAATGTTGGGTTTTTTAATCATTATGATTCTGAAGCAGGGTCTTCACAGCTGGACAGCATTTGTGTTCTGTTTTACCTGGTTTTGCATGACAGCTGCAGAACCTGGCATTTAAGAAACTAACAACACAATGTTTTCTGGTACAGTTTACCTGCTCGCTCCCTGGAAAGGTCCGTAGTAGAAAGTGATCCTACACTTGCTCTCTTTTCTGTCTTCTTCGCTAGATCTTTTATCTGCACCTAACTTCTCTGTACTCGGGGCGCTACCGTTCCCTTCACTAGAGTGTACAGTATTAAAAGAAGAATTTATCAGCTACGAAAATGGATGCATTTCTTTAGCAGACCCTTAAGCCTCCCTGGCCCTTCATAGATCCACGTTTAAAACCCACAGAAAAGGGAGCGGATTATGCCACCGCAGCATAACATCCAGGCCTCCATCTGCGGTCGCTTTACTGAGTTAAAGTAATCAACAAAAGAAAAGGACAAAGCCGTACACCAGCATCAAAGGAACAACACAGGCTTAGAACCGACAAGCAGAGCAATTAAAAGAAGGGGGAAAAAACACCAGGTCTGGAAATTAGGTAACCAGTGAACAGCCCAATAAATGTGGATTATAATGCTCAAAAACCTCCTTCCTCCTTGTTGATCAGGGCAGAAGATGAGCCAAAATTCAAGTTCCTCTAAAAGAGAGTGAAGGGAAGGGTTGTTGGCACACTCTGAAGCTGTGGAGCTGATTTTTATTAACAGTAAGCAGGTAGTCCTCAGTTTAAGAACCAGTTCCATTCCCGAAGTCTGTCCTTAACTCAAGTTTGTATGTAAGCCGGAACAGTATTATTGCATAATACCATATAGTAGTATTGTGTAATGTACTTAGACCATTGTGTATTTAACTCAACTCATTGTGTATTTAACTCGAATTTTGCTACCATAGGCTCCGATCTTAACTATGGCTGGTCCGTAAACCGGGCATTCTTAACCCGAGGACTACCTGTATTTGGTACGGGATGTCTGAGACCCTCAGAAAATGTTTTGTAGAGGAAAAGAAAATTCAACCTTACATCCCCAATGCGATCATTTGGAATTGCCCCCCCCCCCAAACACACACAATGCTTGGCTTGATACAACTTTTTTTGAGGTAAAAATATCAGTAAAATGGGTCAAGTTGCTAGTTTTGGCTCATCGCGTTGGCTGGCTAGGGAAGATTTCCACTAAGACGGGGCCCACCCAGGGACAATGGCTGGTGCCGACATTCACCTTGGGTTTCCATGCCCCTAATTTTTTAACCTATACAAACACTGCGTTGGTAGAGGAGAGTCTGTTTTTAACTGTGCTTTTTTTATGTGATGGTTTTATGCCAGCGGACACAAAAGCTCCATTATTTTGCCCATTTCCTCTCCCTTTTTAGGTCCAGCAGTTTACCAGCTAAGCCACTTCCTGCCAAGATGCCCCAAATGGGCCCCTGAAGAAGCACCTGACCAGCTCCCGTTCCAGGAGCGTGTTTTTTATTAAAACTTACCCCAAGGGCTTCGGTTTGTGCGTGTCCAAGGAATGCAATTGGCACCGCTTGTTCTTCTTACTTTTCGGAATTGCGTCAATCATTTCATTTAATTTGGACCTTTGGTGGGGGGAGAAAGCCAATTAAAAAAAAAAGAACAAAAACTGCAGAAGCCATTCAACACTGTCATTTACCACCCAACATGATCTTGTACAACATTACAGACAGTCTTTCACAAACTTTGATTATATTTGCCTGACGTACAAAGCTAGCTATCTTGCAATTGAAGCCAGTGTGAGGTTCAGATCTGGACTGTGTACTAATCTATGGGTAAAGGAGTGCCTTAACCATCATACGAAACCATAGCTTGTTGTTGGTTTACTTGCCTAACTCAAGCTCTGCCAGGAGGTTCAAATGCAAATAGATGTTAATCTATGGTTATTTCCCTATTCCAGCCTCCAGCTGACCTTGGGGTGGCCACAAATGAGGCCGCTCTAGCCACAGTGCATCTATGATTCTTTTTCTGCTCTGCATAGAAGGCGGTATATGGATAAAAGGTGAATGGGGGCCAGTAGTGCCTTCAACTGGGTCATAGTGGGAAATGTTAAAAGTTTTTTAAATGGAAAAACAAACAAACCTTGGTAGAGTCTGCTAGTGTTAACCCTTCAAGGTAGGTCAGTTCAAAAAGCAGGTATGGCAGGTACTCCAGGAATGCTATTTTATTAACAGAATCTTAAAGACCTGTCCAAGTTTCCTTCCATCCCATCTTATACTAAACAAAATCAAGGCGGGGTTATCTTGAACTTTTCTCTCATGCTCCCCTCTATCTCAGGACGGTGTCATCTTTTCTGCAAGTCCCCCCTGAAGGACTTACGCCTTCCTTCCCCCCGAATCAGCTCTAAATTCCTTGGCAGCCAGCCAGCCAAGAAAATGGCGGATAAAGACAAATCACAGCTCCCCATTGTTTTACGATGTTGCCTAGCATCAAACCAATGGATGTGACTTAACCAGTTTAGCACCAGATTTGATTTAGCGTGTCATACAACTATGCAGACAGTTTTGTGAGGGTTTTCCTCTTTAAAAATTTCTTCCCACCCAGTACACAGCGCAGGGTGGAGCTGTGTGGCAAGATGCTGTCTCTCTCTCTCTCTCTCTCTCTCTCTCTCTTTTTGTATCATTTTATTAAGGATTTTA